TTAAATTCTAAGTTTGTTTTTTTAAAAGTCAGTGCTAATAATAGCAAATAGTCCAAGAGGCATTTCTATTTGACTTTTGAATGCATATTTACTTAATTTAATTATTTGGTTAGATATTTGAGTTTGTTACTATTGCATTGTTTAGAGTTGATAGTGGGAGGAATTGTCTGGGACAAAATAAGAAATAACACGGATGAGCATTTTGTTTAAAAATAACTTTAATGGAATTACCTTTTGGCAGTGTAGATGGGCAAGCTTTGACTAGAAATTTAGAGATAATAGTTTACATTCTGTCCCTTTTACATCAAAATAATCCATTTTCCTAATCATTTCATCTAAATAAAAATTAAATATTTTACATCAGCATTTATTTTATGTGTTTATAAATGTTTTACATCAGCATTTATTTTATAATGCACTATTAATTTTATTAACCCATAATGTTCCTGTCAGATGGATTAATTTTATTCTTTAATCTACAGATAACAATACCAATAGGTGGTGACATTTTCAAGACTGCGTAGCATCTTTATGGTATAACTGAAATTTAAATATAAGAAATTTGAATATAGGAAATTTAAATATAGGAGATCTGTGGTTTGAAATCAGGTTATACATTTATTTATATGATTACTCAAATGAAAAAAAAAAAAGTTCTTTATAACCAGTTGGCATTAGAGCTTAGTTAGATAGCCATACTTGAAATTTACATTTTCTAATCAAGATTATCCATATGAACAAAATATTAACTGTTGTTATTCAGAATTTAAATGAATCCTTTCCTACTTTTCTACCCAAGATGTTTTATACTTATGTGTTTGGTCTGCATTTTTATGCACAATGGAAGTAGTAGTGATTAAGAGGAATACTGGACAAATCAGTAAGTGATAATTAGCACAGTTCACAGTCTTAGGATTTAAACCTGAGCCAGGGGATTGGTTCTGTGTTTGTTTGTTGTTATTGTTTTACTCCAACAGCTCTCTTTATCACCTATCATATGTAGAGAAAGATAAATAGCCTGGGTAAATTGAACTGGGGATTAGAACTGTGGAAGAAGGCCCAGAAAAGGGTGGAGGAAATGGCTGATAAGGAGTGAATTTAGGGGATGATATGAACTGGTAGACTAAAGATGAAGTCCCACATTCAAGTCCCAGCTATAGAGGCATTTGAATTACCTGGTGATTACCTGTACAGGGGAAAAGCCTGTTACTCTAGAATTTAGTCTTTTAAAATGCAAAAATAAAAATTAAAAATGCAGATATTACATAAAGACAGCATTGTCTTTTAAAGGAGAAATAATTTCAGTCTACATTGAATTGATCTACTTTATTTTTTTATTTTCAGAAGGATGAAAAAGAGCAGACTTTTTATTCTTTAAAGCGAGCTGATAAATTTTGATGTCTTGAATTTTTAATATCTCATCCAAAAAATTAATTATGGACTGGATTGTGCAACGTTGTGCTAGATTTCCTTTTTTCCTTAGACTTTCAAATAGGAAGGCAAGAAAAATACAATTTGTGATGACTCAAATAAATTAAAAATGACCTTCTATATGAACAATATCTACTAAAAATGTTTACAAATCTTCATAGTGTTTGAATTTTACCAGCAATGAAAGTTAATGCAAAGCTTCAGCATGCTAATTGCGTAATTGTTTTAAAAAATAGTAAAAGGTTCAGCAAAGAATAATGCATTACTATCAAAAGAGCATTGTTAAATTATGTACTCTTAGGTGAGAATTTTACTCTAATTTAGGAGAACTCAGGAAAATGAGGTTTGGTGAGTTTAGTACATATAATCAATAAAGGTGAAAGATATTTTGGTCCTTTACATACTCTCCATAAAATCTTTCTAACTAAGCCAACTTACAGATACTGTATTGCTTCAAAATGAATTAATTCTTCAAAAGGACAGTACATAATCACCTTCAGAACACAGTATGAATTGCGCTAAGCAAGGTGTGCTTCCAGTTACATTCACAAAGCTTCAGATAGTCTGCTCATCTGGAAGTATCTAAAATTTCAAGGTTATTACTTTGCCACACACATTGGTTTGGATGTCTGTTCTGAGGATTTTCATTATACTCTTTCAGTATCTAACAGGCTCTTCAACACATTTCAAATCAAGTTTACCCCATTATTTAAACATGCTAGAAGTTTAGTAACTGCTTAAATATTACTAATTAATCCACTCTAGGGTGAAAGTCAAGTTCTAATACTGATGATGGGCTGTTAGCTCTATCACAATTCTGTGTCCTGTTACAGTAAATGAGAGAAGTGGGAAAATATTTGCAGAAGAAAAGTGCTTGGAGGAGCACAGGTCTCATTCAGCAGTCTTTGCAGTGTGTGCATCTAGCCCTGAAAAGTGTCTTTGCAAGTAACTAAAGAACTATGCATTCTTTCTATATATATAAAAATATATTATTTGGGCTAGAAACAGTGTTGATAGCTTTGCTTCTTGATTCCTCTTTGTAAAGGATAGTAGCCATATCAACAAAGCATTTTTCTCAGGTAACAGCTTTTCTAGTTCTCAGAGAATATAATTTATCCTAATAGGAATGTTGGAGAATTAGTTGTCTTGTGACAATTGCTGATCTACAGTGTCAAGATTCTGTGATGCAAATAGCTTTATATGAGGAATTTTGTCTGATCTATGATGACTTTGGGATTAGTTTTGCTCCAGAAGGTTCAAATTTATGGAACACGTGAGGCCCTGAGACTTTCTGGGTAGAACTGTTCTTTAGTTAAGAATCACTGACTATACTAAAGTCAGTTTGTGACTATAGAGATTCTTTATTTTCTCCTTCAGTGACAATTGAATTTTTTTGACTTACCATAACCAAGCTAAAAGGTATGAAAAAGAATCACTAATTTTTAAAAAAGAAATGTCTCTTAAAATTGTAATGTAAAATTATGTTGAATTTTGTTGAATGATTATGTTATTCGGCACCAACAGAGACAAAGACTTTGCAGTTTAGTAATGTCATGACAATATTCAGGCATATCGGAGGTATGGTCTTCTGTTTAGCTACCCAGATTTATTTATTTTATTGTTTTTTTAGAGACAGGGTCTTGCTCTGTTGCCCAGGCTGGAGTGCAGCGGTACGATATAGCTTACTGTAAAGTCAAACTCCTGGGCTCAAGGAATCCTCCTGCCTCAACCTCTTGAGTAGTGGGACTGGAGGCATGTACCACCAGACCCTTCTAATTAAAAAAAATAAAAGATTAGTAAAGAGGAGGTCTTACTGTGTTGCCCAGGCTTGGCCTCCCAAAGTGCTGGTATTACAGGCATCAGCCACCAGGGCTGGCCTCAGGTTTATTTTTAAAAAGTCTTTACAAAGGATGCATAAATTTCCAACTATATAAATGTGGGCTGTGCAGTGACTTCCTTGCAAATCGTATACTATGGGAAGGAGGAGAAAAAAGAAGGAAACTTAACAGTGAAGAAGTCTGATAAACAATACCACAGTCAGGTAATTAAGGTCAACAATAGCAGTGATGAATCATGTTGATAGCATGGATCCTTGATATGATGTGGTCAGAATGACACTTTACTTCCGTGGTCCTACTCCTCAAAACTTTTAACCCCAGGCTAATTATTTTTAAAAATTAGATAAATCCCAATAAAGGAACATTCTGTATAATCTCTAACCAGTACTCTACAAAACTGGCAAAGTCATCCAAAACAATGGATGTCTGAGAAACTGTCAGAGCCAAAAGGAGAGTAGGGAGACATAATAATAAAAACTAAGATAGTGTCCTGCATGAGATCCTGGAGAAGAAAAAGGACATTGGGTATAAACTAAGAAAATCTGAATAAAGTATGGATTTTAGTTAATTAACAAAAGCCTTATACAGTGTAACAAAGTGTGAATGTGAACACAAATCTATTATCTCAGTTAAAGACAGACTAAATGATAAAGCTGCTGAGTTCATATTAAATTGTCAAGTGATGGCATCAGCAATTCGTACAAAGGTAAGTAACATTAGTAGGAAAATGGCTTACAAATAAGTTTAAAACTCTATAAATACTAACATTCAGAAACAGAACAATATCAAAGCATGATAGATAGTATTGTAAAAAGTAAGCCTAAATCTTGAAAGAGCTAGTAACTTAGACTTGAAAAGGAAACTGCCCAGTATTTCAGAACAGAATATTGTTTACCCTGTTAAGGCTACTTGATTAACTATATGGCTTTTAGAACAAATAGAAATCAGGTTATGCTGCATTAAAACACATAGACACACACATACACACAAACACACAACCTTATGCAATAGGAAGCGTTACATACAAATTGAAATACTTACTGGCTTTTTGATGCTACTTTATCTACCAGACAATATGGAAAACTTGTAGTAACAGAAAATCAGTTTTTGCCAGTACAGACAGACTTTCCTAGATATAGTTCATTGTGTTTCAAGAAAAATGTTTAACTTGAGAATCTTTTCTATGTGTAGTATTAAGGAAAAAAAAAATGGGCTTAAACCTGTTTATTTTAAACATATAATTTTTTTTTAAAACCCCACCTGATTTCATTGGTTTGCAGGAAAATAGACTATGTACAAGATACATGTTTGGAACAAAGCAATAGCTAACTGTTAGAATGTACAAAGGATGAGCAAAAAAATTTATAACATAGAGATCCAAGAGCAATGTGCATTATTGCATTATGTGTTTCTGGCTTCCTCAGAAAATATAGATGGGTTTCTTGAAGAATATCCGCATTTGATTGTCTTTATATTATACTTTTGCTGTTCTTTTTTCTTAGCCCCTTTCTGCAATATGTAAGAAAAACTTATCAATCTGTTCTTTTTGTAATACTACCCTTGAGGGACAATGTGAACTATTTGCTTCTATTAATCAGGGTAAATTAAGGGAATTCATTTTAACAAATGTATGGTGCCGGAAACCTTCTTCCAACCAAATTTGTTCTTTAAGAACAGAGAACACTCTGCACAGCTAATAAACAGCGGCATCTTTCTCTTTTTCTATTCTAGTGCACTGACAGGCAGAACTCACCAGTCACATCACCAGGATCCTCTCCCCTTGCCCAGAGAAGAAAGCCACAGCCTGACCCACTCCAGATCCCACATCTAAGCCTGCCACCAGTGCCTCCTCGCCTGGATCTAATTCAGAAAGGCATAGTTAGATCTCCCTGTGGCAGCCCAACGGGTTCACCAAAGGTAGATCAATTTTATTAGAAACACAGATAAAATTTTGTAAGACAATTATTGATTGCTCAGATTCTTCTAAATTCCATTACTCATATTTTTTGTGCTTTTAATTGTAAACAAGTTTGATGAGTTTCTCATTTAGTTTATGGTGAGCACATGTTCGTGTTTCTTGTCTTATTACTATAAAAGTTACACGTAATTTTTGCAGAGAGAGAGCATATGTCTGTAGCCCCATGATTTACCAAAATAAGTAGCAGAGTAAGTATGGTTATTTTGTAAAATAGATTTAAAAAGTCATTATATGCATTGAAATAATTTGCATGCTGTTATCAAATGATATTTTGCGCTCATTTTTTATAGTGCCATGACAAGAAAAATGTGATGGGAATATATTTGCATAAGGGCTTAAGGTGTGACAAATTATCACCCTTGTTTCAAGGTGACTTAGAAGAGAGAATTATATGTAGTTTTTAAACCTCGGGAAGTTAATTACAATGAATTGCAATATTTGCAAAGTAATTATATTACTGTTTAATATTAAAGACATAATTCTTACTCTACAGTTAAGCCTACAATTTATTTTATTGTGTGGATTTTTTCTTCAAATTTCATAAGTATAAAATTTTAAAAATTAATTTTATTTGGTAACATGCTCTGTTGTCTAAAATTTGTTGGAAGCACAATATATTTAGTAGTATTTGATTTTCCTGTATTACCAGTTAACTTGGTTTTAAGATCACACGTTATTAGAATATCATTTAGAATTATGTAAACACAACAGATTCCTTTTTTCTCTGCTACTTTCTAACATTAAAATTACAAAACAATCATCACATTAACCATGTAAATAAAAGTCAAAAGCTATGAAAAGCATACACATTCAATTCATTGATCTATACCTTTATATTTCTATGTAAGAATCAGCCTGATCTTTGAAAATACTGTAAGAATTCATGAAATTGAAGTAATTTGATATGTAGTGCTGCTCTGTTACTTGTGATCTTTTACTATTCTGGTAATAACTGATAAAGAAGCAGAGCACATTTGCCCCCATGTCAGTTATGCTGTATCACACTGATGAAAACAAAAATAAAGAAAAAGCTCTTAATCTTCTAAAAATATTACAAATACTACAAATCAAGTTGCTCTTTAAAAAAACTAGAACAGTGACAACTTTTCTTGTCTCACCTAAATCATAGAAATGTGCAAATAAATTATTGGCATTTTATGTCAAAGTCATCATATGATTTTGATCTACTTGTTTCTGTATCATTTCTATAAGTTAACATTTGGATTTATGTACTCATTTCTGTTTTTTTTAAAATCCTAATGAAATGTATTTATGAGTTTTTTATTCTCATTTAAATTTCATTAACTGGTAATAAAAGAAATTTATTAAAAGATGGCACAGGAATCTAGTAAAACTCCTGGTTTGCTTAGAAAATTAAAGTAATAATACATGTTTGAAAGTTATTTCAATGCATGGTACAACTTTTAGTTTGTTTTCTCTCTCTTCTGTTTCTTTAGTCTTCCCCTTGCATGGTGAGAAAACAAGATAAACCACTCCCAGCACCACCTCCTCCCTTAAGAGATCCTCCTCCACCGCCACCTGAAAGACCTCCCCCAATCCCACCAGACAATAGACTGAGTAGACACATCCATCATGTGGAAAGCGTGCCTTCCAGAGACCCACCAATGCCTCTTGAAGCATGGTGCCCTCGGGATGTGTTTGGGACTAATCAGCTTGTGGGATGTCGACTCCTAGGAGAGGGCTCTCCAAAACCTGGAATCACAGCGAGTTCAAATGTAAATGGAAGGCACAGTAGAGTGGGCTCTGACCCAGTGCTTATGCGGAAACACAGACGCCATGATTTGCCTTTAGAAGGAGCTAAGGTAAGATATATGCAAAGCAGAAGCTAGAGAATCTGCTTATAAATGCTTCTGATGGACAGTTGAAAAAAAGTTTGGTATTTTTTTTTTTTTTTTTTTTTTTTTTTTTTGCCTAGCATGGCACCTCCCTGCAAGTCTTTAATTATCCCCAAGTTATAAATAATCAGAAGCTCATTAAAATTTGGACTTAAGAGAAGTCAGGAGGTTCTAAGTAATGATTTAATTTTAATGTGAAGACACTAGACAATTTGCCAGAGATTTATTTCACCTTCCCTTATTTCATTTGCCAAAATTTCTTCTATTAACAACTTAGTGGTGGTATAATCAGAACTGCATTTTTTTTTTTTTTGAGACGAAGCCTCGCTCTTGTCCCCCAGACTGGAGTGCAGTGGCGTGATCTCGGCTCACTGCAACCTCTGTCTCCCTGGTTCAAGCGATTCTCCTGCCTCAGCCTCCCGAGTAGCTGGGATTGCAGGCATCTGCCACCACACCTGGCTAATTTTTGTATTTTCAGTAGAGATGGGGTTTCACCATGTTGGCCAGACTGGTCTTGAACTCTTGAGCTCAGGTGATCCTCCCGCCTCAGCCTCCCAAAAGTGCTGGGATTACAGTTGTGAGCCACTGCGCCTGGTCAGCACTGTATTTTTAACAAACTGTTTTAGTTCCATCCAATTTTTACAAGTCGTGTTACTGTACATGTCATAAATCCGTTGCTGGAGTTAGTTTTTGTTGCCTGGGACAGTACACATTAGGCAGCCAGGTAAAATGAACTTCCTGTATACTCAAAAACACTAAACCAAGTTCACTCTTAAAAATCAAGTTCTTTTCCCCTAAAACTGAGAGATTCTCACCCTTGTTGACTTCTCACTTGAAGGATGTTACCACTATCATTTATATGTCCAGGAAGGAGTTTATGTGTGCAGGAAACTGAAGAGACAGCAGCAGAAATCATTTACTTTAGAATTCTTGGTATTCTTGGTAGTTCCTTGGCAGAGGTATACTGTAATAATTTCTGGTATTTGGTTCCAGGATGCTTTTGACTCTGAGATTAGATCCTTGCCATCTTCCCTTTACTGATGGAGGCCTTGGCTCTTCTGAAGACTGTAATATTAAAGTGATCTCATCTCTGTAGACCTTAAATTGATATTTTACAGAAGTAGTCTAGTCCTTCAAAATAATGGTTAAAGTTGGTGAGTTCATCTTATAACATATTCAGGATACAAGGAAGAAGCATGACTTGCACTCAGCTCCTCTGTGTGTAGAGGTACAGTGATAATGAACACTTTGTATGACAATATTTAACCTCAGTGATGTGGGGTAGCCAGGAAAGGAAGAATCACAACTCAGTAGCACTGCATTCAAAACAAAGGCAAGGAGTGGTGGCAGTTTGCTGTGACTCTTTGCTGGTAACTCAACTTGGTACCTTCAGTCTCATCTATTATAAATATGAGGATCTCTAAAAGTTTCCTCAGGGTCATCTAAATATAATGTAAATGTAAGAGAACATACTAATAAAATCAATTTTATAATGATCTCTGTCAGTGGGGAGCTCATCCTCAAAAGAGTTTTTCCACAACCTAGAATGCTGATTGGAAGGACCTGCCATTCATTTTCAAAACTTTTCAGTGTTGTTTTTTTTTTGTTTCCCCCTTTAGCCTTAACTTTTTATTCATATGTGATCACACTTATCTTGGGAAGAGTGTTAGAAGAAGTTGTAATTACCTAGTTATATCTCAGGAGCGTGTTATAATTTATTTTCTAAATGGACTTCAAAAATACTTGAAATATAATAGTTGTCATAGCCATTTCATTGAAGATATCTTGTTTCAGGGTTCTTTTAGATAACGTGTTCTAGTTTTAATGCTATTATAAATTTACCCTCCTAAGCTCTAGAAAACTGGCCAGTTTTTTTAAGAAATGTTACAGTTGCAAAAATTGGGGTGACAGTTTCTTAGGTTATTGGTATGAGATACTGTATTTTATTAACTTTAGGTATGAAATATTAATTGTGAGTTCAGTTATAAGAACATTTCTTTAAATATTTCTCTGTGAACTTTCATGTTGTGATCATTGATACAGATTAGTATAACAGAGAAGACTGACTGAAAATTTTATCTCTTATTGAAAACTAAACTTTACTGCTTAGTTCTCTCTAAATAATTTTCATTAAGATTCCCTAAGGTCTAATCTCATATATTGTGTGTCTTTATATTGCAATGCTAATATCCTCAAGTTCATCTCATGTTACTCTTAGATTTGGTGTTTCAACCAAAATTAGATTTCTAAGATTTCTAATTTCAACCTAATTGTTTAACTTCTGGAGTGAACTGTAAAGAAGAACTTGATTCATTGAATGCCACAAAACTATAAAACAGACCATGTCTCCTCTTTTATTACCATTATAAAGGAAAAGTGGTTTCACTTCATTAGATCATAGGGCTTACCAGAACTTACATAAAGTAGAAAAGGCCTAATTCCTCTGTCATTTCATTGTTGGGAGACTTAAGAGGTTGGCTTCAACTAACAACTGACATAATCACTTAGGATCCTGTAATTCTCAGTTTCTGTGTTCCTGGGTTGGAGTTTGTTACCAGGCTCTGAAATCAAGCCTGGATTTCACTTTCTGCTCTAGAATGTACTGGCTTTGTGTATATAGCAACTTACTTCATCTTTGTCTCCAACCTCACTTATTTTCCTTATAAATAAAGTGGAACTTTATTTTATTCCTTTATATAAAATGGAATAATAATAATACCTGGTATCTAGGATAATAGTTAGCTTCCAACTATCTGAATTTCTATACCCCTTGGTTCAGGAATAAAAACGAAAATAACAGCTGGACATAGAGTGTCAAAATAAGTTGTAACACTTGGCATTTTTATTCAAAATAGTTGTCTGTTTTATAAACCAAAACATCTTTGTTTCACTCCTTTTTTCTTTTATTTAGCATAGTTCCTAATGAATGTTTGGTAGGCACTCAATAACCAAGTTATAACTTGGTTAAGCTTATGATATAATACTTACTTGGTGCTAGTAATCTAACGCTAAAGCCAGTGGTAGAGAAAAAGGAGTATATGTGTTTGGGTTTGAGTGTAGGCAGCTGTAGGCCAGGAGGGAAAAGGTGGAGGAAGAATATGGCCCTGATATGCAAGGGGTTACAAATGGACAGGTTTTTGTGTATCTTGCATAGTTTTCATGTTTAAAGTAGGACTTTTTTCCTCTGCAGGAGAGTAGTCATTTTAAATATGTAGATCATATACAATAAGAAAAAGAGAGTGAGTGAAGAGAAAGGGGAGATATTTTTATTTTTTAAAAGGACTAAGATTTTTAATGAAAATAGTAGATATTAACAACATATTTTCACCCTTCATACCTAATAGTGCCATTTTGTTTTGTCTTACTTTATCATTGGGATAAAGAGTGTGGAGATTTAGATATTTGGAAGCTGTTTTATTGTTCACATAATTCATCAGGCCCCTAATGTAAGCAAATACACTTTTTTTTTTTTTTTTTTTTTTGGTCAAATCATAAAAACTGCCGCTTAGGTTTAGTAGTTTTCATTAGAGGCAAAGCTTCAAATTTAATAGCATCTTCCCATTTTAGAGATAAGAAAATGTAGATAAGTACTAAAAATAGAAGTGAAAACTAATTATTACATGTGGAACACACAGGAATTTATAAAAGTCAATACCCTGTCGATGGGCGAGGACTCGCTTCCCTTCATTACTCGTCCTGTCAGTATGTCAGTTCTCATCATCCAGTAGAACCATTTGCCTTTTCTGTTTGCGTTGTAACTAGAACAATGAATGGTAGAGGAAATGGGAATAAATTAAACTCTAATTACTCCATTTGTTAATTGTAGAGAGCTCTGAGGAAAAAGTTCTTCTAGCTCATAGTTAAAATGAAGTGTAAGAATTTTTTGTGGCATTCATTTACTCCCTTTACTCTTCCCCTCGTACCTGGCATAATCAAAAGCTAGTCAAGGTAGTACTTTTTAAATGTGGATCTACAGGCTAAGAGTTACTAAGTTTATGTATCTGACTGTATTGGTAAGAGATTTCTATCCTATAGCATTGTTTCCATTCTCTGAAAGTCTTAGATTTTAGTCACCTTTTAAAGCTGTTCCTTTATAGACATCTTGTTGGCTAGATATTTCCTGTCGTTGGTGGTTTCTTTTAATTATCTGAGGAAAATAGTTCTACCAAAGTATATTAAAATATGACTAGAAACTGGAAATGCATCTACTTATTTCTAGATATCAACATTGTACCCAACTGTCATTATTTGTTCTCTTGAGGCAGTAAGAATACTGCTGTTTCTTTTGTGATAAAACTATCTTTAACTGGTCATGTTACTTACAGTGACATTGTTCTAAAGATGACCTTTGTATGATAATTTTTTGAAGACGTTGCAAGATAAATACATCAAATGATTTCCCTTTTTGCAGTTGTGGCTTGTTGTACTTTTGGTGGAGAGGCAAATGTTTATATTAATGACCTTAAAGTTATCTGTAAATTTCGAGGGCTGTCCTTCAGAAAATCAGTCCTCTGTGTGTACTGGTTTCATGTCCAGTCTGATGCTGAAGGACAAAATACAGGGGTACTTTTGAGGTAGCATGTGGGTTGACATGTGTAGGATCGGGAAAAGGCTTGTGTTTAGTAAGATTTTTTAAAAATGTTTTTCTTAATTGTGGGAAGATTTTCACAAAATTTTTTTCTGTGTATCTCAAGGGTCCCAAATGTTTTAATCTTCAGCTTTTAAACAATATCTGAATCACAAGAAAACATTTTACACTTTAGGATTAGATGATACCTTGAGGCATTTAGAGAAATATTAATCTAATATAACCTAGATTTCTAATAAATTATACAAGCCAGTTTATACTTCTTTCACAAGTCTACACTTCCACTATTGTTTTCTTATTTCTTCAACCTCATTACCTAATTCAACTATATGAGTACCTAGCATGTTCAAGACACTCTGGGGAATACAAAGAGGAATAAAGCACAGAAAAGCTAGTCAGGATGAGACAGGCATGTGATTAAGAGGTAAGGCATATGAGAAGCATCCAGAAAATGTGTGGGATCCCCAAGAAGAAAAAAAATTCCAAGATGCAGGACTGAAAAAGTAATAAAGAAAGCTTCATGCAAGAGGGTCACTGGCTATAGACATTAAAAGACTGGCAGCTGTTGTTTTTGTAGTTATTACAGAAAGGAATAACATGGAGGTGGGAGAATATGTTTAGTGATAATATAGTCAGTTTTGGATGGCCTGTAGCATAAAAAGAGTGGACAGGTGAGGTAAGACCATGGCAAGGTAAGTTGAAACCAATTATGAAGTGTCTTGAATTCTACATTAAGTAATCATAATTTGGTAGGCAGGAAAGAACATTTAAAGTTTTCTTTTCTGGCAGAGGAATACTAGGATTAGAATTGTGAATTTAGAAGATTTAAATTGGTAGCATTTCCAATGCAATTGTGATAGATTTGGGACAGTGAGCTAAGAATGCAGAGGATGAAAAGATGTTTCTTAGTTGAGGATTCAGTGAGGTTTTAGTGTGAACTGCTTCAGTTGATACTATCAGTCTGTACATTTGAAGAACTACAGTTTTTTTTTTTTTTACCATTTGCAAACAGGTTTTTTAGATATCTTGAAAATATATAAAGTATTTATTTTTAGCCCCCAAAGTTGTGATTTATTGTACTCACTCAGGTAATGGCAGCTAAAATGATTTTCTGGTGTAATGAAATGGTTTCAGGTGAGAACATAAAATTCAGAATGACACAATGTTAAATCTTGTCCTTTAGCCACTATCCATAAATATAAACAGCCGTTTTAGATGAACAGAAACATGATCATCACTTTATAAAGTACCTGCACTTTTAGGTCCTTTGCTGTCTCAATCTAATAATTAGGAAAGAACTATACAGAATTCCAAGTTTCGTATTAGGCATATTGTCAACTCTCAGTACATATTTATGAACAGTTTGCAGGAATAACAGCCATTAAACAAATTATATATGTGTGTGTGTGTGTGTGTGTGTGTATGTATGTATATATATTTATGTGTGTATATATATACACATATTTGCTGAGAGTATTTCAGTAATAATGAGTTTCAGCTAAACCTAAGGAAAGTCATTTCACTAGTTAATACCTCCGTTAATAAGTACATCTAAGCCAATTAGCAGTCAATATTCATTTCAGCCCTACTGTGTGTAAAGCACCATAAGGTATATGCTGTAAAATGGTAAAGGAGTAATAAGAGTTTTTGTCCTGAAAGAGGCCCAACGTGGCCTAAATTCTCCTTGACGAAATGTAAGTACACAGAACACGAGCAAACTATTATCAGATGCCAAACATCAAATGAATGGTTCAGAAAAGACACTACAGCATTTCAGTGGCTCTAGAAATCCTTTAGTTACTATATATCAGTAACAAATGGTATTTCTGAAACAGTTAGAAAAAGTGCCATTTGCATTTTAAAGCAGATTAATGGATTGTTTCAAAAAATTAGGAACAAGTCATTTAATTTTCTTAGATATCGCCCTCCAAGAGTAAGTTACCTCATTAATTGTACTTTGTGGTTTTACTAGTGATAGCCATCATTGCCTGTATGACTTCTCTTCATGAAATTGAATAGTAGTACATAAAAATATGCAAGCTCTGTTATTAGTATTTTATTCTCATTTACCTAATGTGCAAGATGAAAGCAATTTCAATACCAGTAAATGTTTGAGTGTATTGGTATTTTTGAAAGATATATTCACAGTGTTCTGATTATAAAATTATGGTTGGTTTATTATTAAATTAGAACCAATACAACTGAAACTATTATTCCCATATCTCTCTTTTATTTTATTGTTGCTGAAATTTTATTAAGCATCTATCTATGTTGGATGATTTGTCCTCAAATAACAAACTATTGCATATAAAATTCACATTACATTTTCCCAAATGAGTTTTATATGTATTTGTGACATGAATTAAGGAAATTTGACTGCAGATATCTTACATTGTATCTATTCCTGCAGCATGCAAAGAATTCCAATGAAGAATGACTTCCAAAGTTCAGTATTACAATGAGCATTTGTGTATTTGTCAGTTAAAAGACCTTTTTTTATGTTAAAGGATTTTATTAAACTTCAAAATGATTAATGTCTATTAGGAAATTTCTTCTTTCTGGCACACTTCAGAACACTTTGCCTTATTCTGTTATTTGGCCACAGTCAAAAGCCCAGGATAAAATCATTTTATTTAAAGGTAATATTTTGTCATGGTGTGGCTACAGTATATTGAGTCTAATGAGGGGAAACATGTAAAAAGAGAAATTGGTACTAAAGCTTAAGATCAGCTTTGTAGCTCTGAAATACACACGCTGATAAATTTCAAATGTGTTCTTTAAACTTGTTTCTTTTCTTATTTTAAGTTGATAGGTAAGGGTATGACCTTTTCAATTTTATATTCTAAAGCTTCAACATCATTTTAGAAATGTGATGGAGAAAAGTAATTGTTAAGTCCTCGATTGAATTATCCATCGCTGTTCAAATTACTTCACTTGCATTTAGCCCCACCATCAGTCTACCTATTAAATATGAATTAATAAGAGTTTACAAAGGAACTCCATGATAAAAATCTAATGATTGCTTACAGGTCTTAAAATGTGTTCAGTCTTTTCTTGTGAATATGTTTCTGCAAAATGATCCTCTCATAACCCCCCACTTTTAAGTTACTGTAATTTCAAATTGTAGGAGAAACAAAGAACAGTTTTTCAGACATTTCCTATAGTGTAACAGAAATCTAGACACCAGAATTCCCTAATTCAGAGTAATTGAACACTGGCTTTGGATGGTCCCATATGAGCAAGTTAGAAATTGTGGTTTGTATGTTCACTAACTGAAAATTTTGTTTAAATTTGCCTGCACTTGGAAAGCCAGAACAGGTCTCTAGTTATCTTTAGTGCAGAAGCTTCAACCATGAAAGAACAAAGGCACTTCTGATTATATTAATGTACTGTTTTATCAGAAAGTTTAAGAATGTTTCATTCACCATGGAGAAATATAATTTAGAGCAATTTAATTTGGAAGGAATTTAAAAAAGAATAACATCAATGCTGCTTTTTTCTTTACCCCTTATAGAGAATGCTAACTTTTCAATAAAACCTGATCATAGTTGGTGAATTTTATTATTTACCTATTTAGCCAATAATATCTGTATGTGATTTATATAAATTTTAGTATTACCTCTCAGTGTTTAAGAATCATGGTGTAACATTTTTATTTTTTCTATAACCTTGAACCACTTTAGGCGGTGGTGACTCATCAGTGTGGTGCTACTGACTCCTGAATAAATTGTATGACATTTCGCTTGTTTAAATATACTGAACTTACACATTGTCTTCAAAACGGTAGGTTACCTAAGAGCAGCTATTGCTGTAAGATCCTTCAGAAGTTAAATTCTTGGAAACTAACCATTTGATTTACTTTCAGGTCTTTTCCAATGGTCATCTTGGAAGTGAAGAATATGATGTTCCTCCCCGGCTTTCTCCTCCTCCTCCAGTTACCACCCTCCTCCCCAGCATAAAGTGAGTTTTGTTGGATTTGGAGATCACTTGTCTGTGCATCAAGATATGGTAAAGAGTGGTTTTGAGAGGTTCTCAATACAGACACTACATGACGAATAGAAAGTCATTGATAGTAAACAGCCAGCTGTATTTACAAACTAAATTACCATAAATTAAGATCCTTCCCGATACTTTGCTGGTAACCACAACATCTATGAGACTTACCTAACTCTTGAGGTTACACATAGAGCAACAGGGAGAGAAAGCTCTTCCTTGTATCAAAAGTATTCCTTGTATCAAAGAGGATAGAGTAGCACAATGAGGTATCCCTTCAAATTTACCTCTCCTCCTCAGAGGTAACCCATTTTATCTCAGCTTTCCAGTTTGACATCATAAAAAAATCTTTGGTTCCACCAGTTTTTTCTTTTCTCACATCCATTCAGCTACCAAGTCCTTTTGATTACTCTTTTGGAGTTTTTCATATTCCTCTCCTCTTCTCCATTGCTCTAGCTTTGCCTCAGAGCTGGACAACTGAAAGAGCAACTGATCATCTCATATGATCGGAGATTTAGTATCAGTGGGTTTAGGGCTAGTAAAATGAGATAAGTGGGTATCTCATTTGAAAAATGGGGCCGCAGAGGCACACTAGATACCTCTCATTGGTATCTTCCCAAGTTAAACCAGGATAAACTGGATATCCCAATTCTAATTTTCCTGCTCTTTATATGAAGTCAGGATGTCTGCCTTTCCTCCAGTGTATTTTGTTCACTGCAACTGAGTTCATTTAATTTAAATTCTGCCTTCCCCAGGTCACTTTCCCACTCAAAAACCAGCATTGTTTCCCTTTTTCTATTAAATTAATTCTATACTCTTCTGCTAACAGTAAGATCCTACAGAATTTTACCCAACTAAAATATTGTTCAGTGATTCCTAATACTTGCCCTGTAATTTTATCTGGATTGTTTTTTCTGGCTTTCTGAGATTTTTATGAAGTTCCTCCTGTACTTTACCTTTTCCTAATCTTTATCCTAAAGGTCCGTATCTCAGGCTGTATTTCTTTGTGAAATGATCTGTGACTTCTTCAATTGTAATGGTTAAGACTGATTCACATTCCTCTTCCTGCAGTTTATTTTCTACTCATTTAATTATATACTCTGCCATATTGTTTTCTGATTTTAATGTGGCTCTCCAATTGAAAAGATTACAAGACTTTAAGGGCAAAAACTGTGTTCTGTATCTCCCATGACATCTTACTGTATTTGATGTATACTAAGTAAATGATCTGCATATAGTAAGTAAGTACACAGAGAATACATGGATGCTTGGTCAGTTGATTTAAATTTTATCTGCTGAGGTCCTTATTTCCAATTGAAAGTCTTAGAGCTTCTTCATTCCTTCATCTGCAGTTCACCGAACTCCCACTATACATATCAATGCAAACGAAAAATAAGGTAGATCCCAGCCCCCAAGAAATTTACAGTCTGCTTTGGAAAATAACATTAACATATACGAAATCACTAGAGAATGGTATGCACTAACATTTATAATGCTAACTTAGTAGTTTCAAATGAGTTTGGAGGAGAGGCTGTTATAGCCTTTGTAAATGAAGGATGTTTCATGGAGGGATGGGCATTTCCTGACTCATGAAGTACACGCACAATTGGGAAAGGCGGCATATGAGAAAAAACAAGGTTGTGAAATTTGACATCGTTCAGGGGACGGTGGGAAACTCAGCGAATTATATCATTCTCCAGTGGGAACTTCTCTTAGAACTGCCAGATATTTAGCAGACATAGGAGTTGGAAGCAATTACACATACTCTGCATAGCAGGCTCTAAATCAATGACAACATGTGATGATATTCTAGCCCTAAATGAACTCTGGATATATGTGCATGTAATAAAACATCTAAGCTCAATTACCTCTCATAACTCAGAAAACATTAGAAAATGAAATCTTGCTAATTAGAGATTAAATTTTCACATTCTGTTTATTAAATTCATATTGGCAAGCAAGCTAGAAGTTGCGGTTTGCTTCATTTGTATTTAACATTAAATACCTGCTTCTCCTGTAAATGAAGCAAGAACAACAAATTCATAGTAAAATGTATGTTTTCTAATACTTCAGTTTGTAAGCGCATCTAAAATTAGTCATACTTTCTCCCTATTTACTCTTGATTTTTCCCTCAGAAACAGTGCAGTTGTTTCACTTAGAGTAATATTTTAACAGTGCACGCTTACCAGCAAATTAGTTTTCAATTTGGCATGCTGCATGTCAGCCATAGTTAGCAATACAAATGTTAGCTTTTAATGGCACATTTATCTCTCCAGTTTATTTTTGTTTCTGACTCTGTAGGTAGCAGTTGTTCATTGTAGACAATATGCAAAGTATATAAAAAAGAAAAAAGTGAGATACATAAGTATAAGCATACACAGATGCTAAATATCAATGTCCAGAGTTTTAACATTTTGACTTTTTTGTTTAAACTTGTTTATACCTTGTTTAGATTATATTGTAGAGATAATTTTATTCCCTCCTTTCTTAACATTATCATAAGCATTTTTCTTAGTTGTTCAGTTATGCACTGTGTTTATTATAAAACCAGCATGGAATGCTGATGTGAACAGTGGAATAAAATCAGACTGTGCACCACTCCTGACTCCGCCATTAAGTATTTGTCTTTTTTGTTGTTGTTGTTTTGAGATAGAGTCTCACTCTGTCACCCAGGCTGGAGTGCAGTGGCGCGATCTCGGCTCACTGCAACCTCTGCCTCCTGGGTTCAAGCGATTCTTCCGCCTCAGCCTTCTAAGTAGCTGGGACTACAGTCACCCGCCACCATGCCCGGCTAATTTTTTAATTTTTAGTTGAGATGGGGTTTCACCATATTGGCCAGGCTGATCTCGAACTCCTGACTTTGTGATCCGCCTGCCTCGGCCTCCCAGAGTGCTGGAATTACAGGCATGAACCACCACAGCCTTTGTCTTATTTTTAACAGGGTAACTTCTCTGGCTTTTCCCCATCTGATAGAAGGGAGGATCTGTTTAACTTAAATTATCTCCAAAATCCTTTTGAGATTCAGCTTTTTAGGTTTTATACAGTGTGTTTTCTTAAGAATACTGATGGCAAACCTGGCAACCTAACAGTGAGTCGAGAGTCCTGCCTCTGGATGGTCTTAGAACAGAGGTCTTAGCAAAATGCCACTCACAGAAATAAAGAGTGTCGGATGTTTGAGAATTCATTTGCATCTTAGACTCTCGGTGCATGTTTCAAAATCAGGCCAAAGCAAAATTACACATTGCTACCAAACATACACTTCTCTAGTTCTCACAAATGTTGAAAACTCCAATGTTAAATCCAAGAACGTCAAAGCTAGCATTTACCTTTATATTTATACTATGTTGTTATACGTATTTGCAGAAACAGTATTGTTAAATATTTGGTACTGTTTACTGATTCCCATTTACGTGATGTCAGAGGCTGCTCTGTGATAGTGCTTCCTTTCCTGGTAAACTGTATCTTTGCAGTTATTTGACTTTCATCGTGTAATTTGTCTTGAGACCTAGAAGAGTATGAAATTTACTTCTAAAAAATATACTGTTGTAAAAGCAATCTGAAATTACTTGTATCTATATACTTAATTTTTCTAAAATGATGTTTTTTTCCAAAGTAATATTTTTTTCTGAATGGTTTCTGCTTAACATCTTTGACACTTAGCTATAAATACAAAATTTTAAGTAAATCCTAGAAACATGGGTAATTACTGTTTTGGAGGGAGAACAAAGTAATCCTATGTGGATTCTTTTTACTTTATAGTTTACATTATTTATTTACTAAATTATATTTATTTTGAAATAATTTGATTTTTCAAAATTAAAAGTAAATGATACTCTGAATAGTTAAGGAAATATTTATTTTACTTGACACACAATAGTTTGGCAAATGAACAGAGGCATTATTACAAGTAATAATGGAATAATTAATTCCAGGTAAGATAATGTTCTGAAATGCTGAGGAATATCTTTTTTTTTTTTTTTTTTTTTTTTTTTAAGAATTTGTGTGTGTGTGTGTGTACCTTGTCTTTTAGAGATGGACCTTTTGTACTTTTGACATATTAAACTTAGGCTTTCAAATACCCATGAACCAATATTACTTGGTTTGCATTTTTGTAAGAAAGGTTTTTTTGTTGTTGGAAGTAGTATTATCTATTTTTATGAATATATATTCTTATAATATATATTTCCCTAAAGAGATTAGTGCTTATATTTTTGGTTCCATAAACAGAGAATACAAATTTCACCTAACTGTCCTATTTTCATTCAGTTGCTTTACTGACTAGAGGTTCAGTGTGTACAAGATAAAATCCTTTATCCTCTTTGGAATTTAAGCTCTAGTTAGGGAGAAGAGTAAGTAAACAAGTAACTATATTGTATATTGTCAGCTAGTGGTAAGTGCTAGGAGGAAAAATAAGCAGGGAAGAGGATAAATAATGATAGAGAGGTTTATACTTAGATGAGGTCATTAGGAAAGACCTCTCTGAAAGGCTAATATTTGAACAGAAACTTGAAAGAAGTAAGGGAGCAAACCATGAGGTTATCTGTGTGAAGAGCACAGAAGCTGGATAGAACACAAGTACAAAGCAACTTCAAATCTGTTTCTCCAATTTACAAACAAGTTAGTGAAAATGCTTGTAAGTAAAGCTTATCTTAAAGCTTGATAGTATACCACACAGACGTTTTTGATGTCATGAAAGACCCTTCAAAATTAGCATGTATATGATAAAATTTAGTGTTTTGAGGAAATGATTTATATGTGGCACATGTGCAAAAATCATTTCAAATACAGCTATATTTTGTTTTGTCTCTTCTCTGGACTATTTATTTGAGTTAGACATTTTCCCTGTTAGGATTGGGATAATGTAATATAAGAAATATGGAATAATGTATAGGGCAAGCTCTAAAGATTCTATTTTAACAGAAGATATTTTTCATTACTTGCCTTCAGATACTATTAAAGGAAGATAGATGCTTATGTGTAGAAAACAAGCTTACTAATTAAGCATAGCATTGGATACTATCTCCTGTGCTGGCCTGAAAATTCACCTGTTTCCTGGTTTGTTTCAAATGTGCATATGTAGAAGATGAAAGTATTTATCACTGAAGGCTCAAATAGCTAACACTATGAATGTAATAAAATGTCCAGGTTGTGGGGAGGGTGACTATGCATCTTTGAGAGTGTGTGTCTCTGTGTATTACCAGAGTATTAACTCAGTAATAACAGCAACAGTGCAGAACATTCTGTGAATGTAGGATGAGAATATAAAGGGGTTGCAGTAATAAGTGTAATGGTAGGCTTCAATGTGGAGTCAGCCAAATACCATTTGTTCAGCTTTATTCCTCTGGTATCCTAAAAATTTCCCGTAAGTTTAGTCAGTGACTGAAAATTGTCCCATACCCCGCAAGATAGAATTTTTTTCTACTGCCAAATGTTGTATATATTAATAGATAATGACTAATTACAAATCTAATTATTTTACCAGTTATTTAGTAACAAGTAAAATTAAACCTGTTTTTTGAATCAGTTTGTAGAGGAAAATAAAACCGCACGTGTCATTCCAGATGGTGTAATTAGTTACATGACTTTAGTTCTTTATTTTGCTATTTTATATACATCTTCTATACCTCACTTGTACCATCCTCATGTTATTTTTTGTGATAGAAACCATTTTTTTTTTTTCTGAACTGGATAAGATTACTTTTTAATAAAAACCATGTAATCTTAAATAAAACACACTGGTATGTTATTCTTATAAATTGGCTTATTTCTAATCTAAATAAACTATTATACTGATTTTAAAAATTTTTATTAAAAACCATAAGCAGAAAAATAAAATCTGAATCTTTAGAACTTTATTAAAATGGTGCTAAATGGGACACCTAAGTATTTTTTTTGTATTTAGATACAAACACCACTTGAAGACTATTTTTTCACTTCTAGATATAATTCTCTAAAATCCATTTAAGCTAACAATTTATACTAGTAAGTTTTAGCAATAAGCCTTATTACTCCATGAAGTATTAGATGAGCTTTGCTTTTCACTTCATTCGGAAATAATCTACTGATTTGTGGCAAAGCCACAAATGGGGGAAATTACTCGAGAAATTGTCTATCAATGAAAGTAAAATATCAAATTAGCCGCAACATATGTGATTTAAAAAAGTGTCCATTGTTGACTCATAATGAACTACTTCTTTGGAAACTTAAATCTTTGGCGGGAACCTGCAACAGGCAGATGTTAGAACATTTCTGATATTGAATAGTTGTTGAATGTTTAGTGAGAAATACTGTTTTCTTTTTACGTAGTGTATGCTTGAATTGCATAGAAAGGGATTCATTATAAATGAAAATATCTTAGGCATAGAAAGGATGTACAGTATTTATTTCTCATTTCATTTGATAATAGAACCCATTCTGGTCCTTGAGTTAGCTAAATTGATGTCTGTGTTTACAGGAATTTATGGAAAAGTAGTATTATAAGTCCCTCCCAGCTCCAGTGCCATCAGATCACCATTTTGCAGCCCATATACTTAACTTCCTTTAATTGGAAAGTAAATCCTCCAAAGTTAAACCATAATAGGTGTAATAATAGATTATTATTAAGGCCCTTAGCTTATGCTGTAGGTAGTGACATTGGACCTTTTGTCACTATATCACTGTGCTTTTGTCTCCCCGTAAAGCTCATGTAAATTCTAAAGTTGCTGAAACAACAAGAATTTAAAGATCAGTATTGAAATTTTGTTCAAAGATAGGTATCAATAAAAATATATTTGAAAAATCTTAGTTTTTCCTTGATCTTTGAATGTCCTAGAGACTCAGATAATATCTTTGAAACTTGAATCTTTTGATTTTTCAAAATGCCTTCTTGTAATGGTCACAAAGAAAAGCCCCTAAAATTGTTTCCATTCTAACTAATAAAAAGGAATAAAAATGAATGTTAATTCAATCATGTTTGTTTAATATACCAAAGACCTCTTGCTCCCTCTACAGAAGGTGCTTCAAAATTGCAGTCACTTAGTTTTTGGGGTTTTTTTTTTTTCCTTTTTAAATTCAACAGATTTCTCATGAGGTTCATGATAATTATTGTATTTGCAATGCCTTGCAAACTAGTTCGTCTTCCTAAAGTGAATCAGGTTGAGTTTGTGCATTTCTGCTTTGGCATTTTTCATTGACTTCAGCCAGGGTTAAACTCCAGTAGCAACAGCTATGAAAAACATTATGTTTATGTTTCCCTATTTGTTTGGGTTTGTTTTATTTGGTTTATTTACTGTTATGGATAAGTGAAATCCTTAATATTTTTGATATGAGATGATGGTTTTACTCGTTTTAATTCTCTTTTATTTACCCAGGGAATCTAAGCCATAAAAATAATGTACTGTACTTCAAAGACTTAAAAATAAGTTATCTCATTATCTACATCTAATCATTCCATTCATTTTTAGCTCTCAGTTGTTGGTAGGAAGAAAAACCTAACAACTTCAACTATAATTTCACAGGATAGTTAAGTTTTACAGAATTAAACTGGATATTTTTCCAACTGTAAATAATACTCACAGGAGACAAAAAGTTTGATCGTTCTGTAAAGACTTCTTTAATATATAAAACTACCATGCTTATTATTTTAACATCATACTTTACCCATTTAATTTAAATTGAGATAAAATATTAATATTTTAATAGCTTTGGTTTGAATAAATTTATACATTTTATCTTATGAATCCAACATCTTTTTATTTTATTTGACAAGTTACTAGTTTTTCCTATTGTGCCATTTAAAATTATAAGGATGAAAATTCTTTTATCCCATCAAGAGTCTTAACAAAAGATTGAAAATCCTTTTCATTTGTATTTAATATAAGAACAGCTTCTCTGATGATACCCTGTAATTGAATAATGAACATAAGTGATAAAGTAGCTTCTTTGATTTGAATATGTCACATCAGACTTGCCTGTTTTGAATATTATGCTTAAACTAGATTGGATTTTTTTCCCCTGGTAGGTGTACTGGTCCGTTAGCAAATTCTCTTTCAGAGAAAACAAGAGACCCAGTAGAGGAAGATGATGATGAATACAAGATTCCTTCATCCCACCCTGTTTCCCTGAATTCACAACCATCTCATTGTCATAATGTAAAACCACCTGTTCGGTAAGAATACTACGGGCAGCTTTTTGCCACTTACATCTGCATAAGCATTATCATTTGCAATGTTTGTTTTTAAACAATTGATTTACGTCTAGTTAAAAATCCTTGATTTCAAGCTCAAAGCCTTCTCTTCCTGTATACCATTCCCTGCATTACTTCTAAAGAAAACTAAAAGATGCAGATTTCTCATTAATCAGGAAGTCACTTTATTTGATCAGTTCGAAGCATGTATCTCATAAAGAAAAAATTAGTGCTCAGAAACTAAGGTATTATTCTGACTTTCCTTAGAATTTTTCTTCATAATGTAAAGACTAGTATAATTTATTTTCATTTTCCTTCTTGATGTACTTGCTACCTACTTCTATTCAGATTTCGAAGAAGTAGGAAAAAATACCAAGTTGTTTCCCTTAACTTTTTGTTTTTCTATCAAGTGCTGTTTTACCTTCCTTCAGATCAAATAAGAATGTGAGGAATAGGCTAGGCGCGGTGGCTTACGCTTGTAATCCTAGCACTTTGGGAGGCTGAGGCAGGAGGATCATGAAGTCAGGAGTTCGAGACCAGCCTGACCAACATGGTGAAACTCTATCTCTACTAAAAATCCAAAAATTAGCTGGGCATGGTGGCGGGTGCCTGTAGTCCCAGCTACTCAGGAGGCTGAAGCATGAGAATCGCTTGAACCCGGGAGACGGAGGTTGCAGTGATCCGAGATCGCACCACTATACTCCAGCCTGGGCGAGAGAGCTAGACACTGTTTCAAAAAAAAAAAAAATGTGAGGAATAGTGGGGGTTTTTCCTTACTTTTGTTTGCTTATTCTCACTTACATGGGAATAGCCTTGGTCTTTGACTTGGAAGCCCCATTAAGGTAAATAAGAGTTATTAATAATGTGTTGTTTGTATTGAAATATTAAATTTATCTTTAAGTAAAAGCATGAGTCTACATTTATATTATTGAATTTATAAACTGAAGTCTCATATTTCTGGGTTTGTTTGTTTTACCTGACTGACATGTATGAGGTACTCAGTACTCTCAGCTTCAAAACTTAGTTTCTGAGTTCTGCTTTCCTTTGTATAACATTCCTGGGGCCATGCTTGGCACCTAGAATAGGACTCCAGTACTGCTGTTGGCCCTGCATCCCAGCATCTCTCCAGGACGGACTGAAGGATAGGGGAGATGGCAATTACTTCAGTCCTCTGTGCCATCTTTACTTAGTGTGCCTTTTCCTTGTGAGGTCAAGTCAATCAACTGAAAACATTTTATAAGTACAGTGTTCCCTTCTTTTCCAATGAAAAACTAAAAAATGTTTTAATGTGTTTCTTCAGGCATCTCACTGAGGTAGAAAATGCAGCACTTGGAAAGAGAAGCACATTTTCATTTTAAGCAGATGTCTGTCTTAATAAGGGACCCTGGTTAGAATTATCAACATTCTGCTGAATTATTACCCAGAATTAACAGTCTACACCGCAGGACTTTATTTTTTTTAAAGCCAGAACCTAAACACTCCTTGCTATTGCTGGTGTTTAAATAAGAAATTTGTTGATAAAATAGTATCACTGAGAAGACAAAGAAATAACGAGGAGGTAATTTTGTGTATCAGAAGAACCAAGTAGCTAGTGATTTATTTGAGAACAAAAGATATTCCTTCTCATCAAATATAAGTTGTTACAATTTTCAGTTCTTTGGCTCTTACAAATGTGCAGTAATTTTTAAAAACTAAAGTAGGATGAGCTCTTTTGGTCTCTTTGGGAGTCTTTTTTTTTTTTTTTCATTGCTGAATAAGTGAGGAGTATATTTTAATACGTTAAATTTTAATTGTTACATCATATTGGATGAGCTTTTTTGTGGCAGAGCGCCCAAATCTTGAAAATAAATTTGAATTATAACCATCATTACCATTTTTCTATTGTTACAGAAAAGTAATAAATGTTGATAATCCCTAAATGTAATTGGAGTGAATTCTTTATCTAATTTGTTCTTGAAAGCTGATGGATGAAGTATCTTCTTTCGTCCTCTCCAAAGAGCTCTTTAAGCTTAACGCTTTCTTTCCCTGTGTGTATTTTTCCCCCTTTAGAACATCAGGAGAAGTGAATTGTCAATATGTAGAAAAAGTGACACAGTAAATGAATAATTCAATTTAATTTCAATAAAAATCCATCATTGTTATGAAGGTTCAATACATGATAACTATTTTTAAATGAACTATATCTGGCCCCTTAAAGAGAAGTGGCCACCAGAGAGAATAGAAATGAATTTCAGATGAAGCATTCTTGCATTATCTATTCAAATATCCACATCTCCTCCATTACATATGCACTTTTACTTTGCTCTAAAAATTCAGAGTAAATCAGAGGAAAGTAAAATGTAAACTCTGATTTCTATAGCTCTGTGTCACTTGATTGTTATAGAGCTATATACTGAAGCAAAATATGCTCCCTATCTTCTCTTCCTGCTGCTATCTTCCCATGGCCCAATTTTAGCCATTGTGTTCACAGTATGATTCCAAAGAATTAATACCAACAATTCGGCTGGGTGCAGTGGCTCACACCTGTAATCCCAGCCCCCTTTGGGAGGCTGAGGTGGGCAGATCATTTGCGGCCAGGAGTTTGAGACCACCTGGGCAACATGACAAAACCCTGTCTCTACTAAAAAATAAAAGTAAATTGGCTGGGCGTGATGATGCATACTGGCAATCCCAGCTACTTGGGAGGCTAAGGCACGGGAATTGCTTGAACCTGACAGGCGGAGGTTGCAGTGAGCCAAGATCGTGCCACTGCACTCCAGCCTTTGCAACACACAGACACACACGCACAACAAAACAGAAAAAGCCGCAACAACTCAAGCATACTTTTCTAGTAAGTAGTACCCTTTACAAACACATTAAAATACTGTGCTTGTCATGTACCCGAGGACTTTGCTGAAGTCATTTTTTGCAGTGTCAGAGGACCAGAATTTTGTTCTTGGCAGTGGTGAAATAGTACCACAGGCTCTAGTTCTTTGAATGTTCCTGTCAGAATTATAATGGAATTACTGAAAGTTTAATAGTTTTTTTTCTTTTATGGGCTGTAGCTTATTTTTATTATAAGGAAATTTTCAGTTACAGAACCTAAAATGTGATATTAAATACTATCAACAAGTAATGAAGTCATTGAGACCGCTATATGTTTTTGCCTTGGCACATACTTCTTTTTTTACTTCAAAAATTTGACCAGGTTCTATTGAATTCCTCCACAGAGATAAGTTAATTTTACATATGTGTTTAGGATATCAACAATTTTTGTGGCCTTTGTAATTCTTGGTTATAGTTTACAAAAAGAGACTGTGTTCCTTCAGATATTTACTTCTACATTTTAAAATAAGGAGTATCTTGATGTTATTACTGATAATTTTTCCAGAAAAGAAAATATATGTTCAAACTTTATTAAATGAGCAGGAATTCTAGTTCTCTCTACCTCTTGAATTACTTTTCATTGGAAAGTATTCTCCTTATATGATTTTATTGTGAACTGTCCTTTAGGTCTTGTGATAATGGTCACTGTATACTGAATGGAACACACGGTCCATCTTCAGAGAAGAAATCAAACATCCCTGACTTAGGCATATATTTAAAGGGTACGTATAGAATATAATTTCCTTTGTGATGTACATCTTAATGGTCAGAATTTAAAGGCAAAATTTCATGCCATTGTACTGAAAATACATTAAGGTTTTGTGTTATCCTCTAGGAGATGTTTTTGATTCAGCCTCTGATCCAGTGCCATTACCACCTGCCAGGCCTCCAACTCGGGACAATCCAAAGCATGGTTCTTCACTCAACAGGACGCCCTCTGATTATGATCTTCTCATCCCTCCATTAGGTTGAAACCTTTAAAAACATTTTAAACAACCCACCCCTCCTTCTTCTCTTAATTTCAGAATTTTCAGAATTCAGAGTTCACTATAACACAGACTCACTGGGTTGTGAATGTGCCTGAAATTAGAATGGGTTCTCCAGGGATGGTGACTCCCAAGTTCACGAGACCATTACTCCATGTAGATGATTAAAGTAGTAGTGTAATAGTTGGGCATCAGTCAGGTTTTAAGCAAGTTGTTTTGTCCATACTAAATGTAGTCTAAAAACACGTGAGAGCTTTGTGCTCTAATAGTTTTGAAGTGATGACTTGAAGTATTGAAATTTTCTTTAAGTATAATAATTCTTAATGAATATGAACTTGCTTTTCTTGTAGCATGAGCAGTTCCACTTATGCTAATTAAATTATGCAAAATTAAATAGTTATATGTAGAGAACTGATAATAAATTCTGTTTTATTCTAATCATTACAACTATAACACATTCAAAAAACTCTCAATTTCCTTGTTTCAAATTACAATATGAAGAAACATCCTATGTGTATTTGTGTGTATCCACAGGTGAAGGTACACGTAGGTATGTATGTATGTTGAAGTTGACTGGTGCCAGTGTCACTGTTAATTTCATTAATTAGGAAGCATCTCATCCTGTTTTTAGAAGACAGTTAGAATGTCTGCACACCTTACATAAGGCTTCACAATAACAAGTCATTGTAACATAAAATAATATCTGAAGAAAATCAATTTACAAGCTTTTCTGAACTGGCTGTTAGGCCACCAGAAATACGAAATGAGCCCTTCCATTTTCTCACAAGTACCACTGACTAGTATTTTGAATGACACAATAGCAGTATCTTTCGCTCCTGTTCACTCCATAGTTCAGGACTGTATTCCCATCTACATCAATTACAAAAGCCTCCTAACTTTCTTACCTACAGTCTTTCTCTCCCTTCCACTTCTTTCTGCACACTGATTTTAGACATATTACCCAGATCTTCATCACCTGGATAAGCATTGTTCAATAAAGCTTTCTGTGTTGATGTAAAGGATCTGTATATTTGCATATGGGTTAAATGTGGTTATGGAACTGACTTTTCATTAAATTTAAATAGCTATATGTGGATGGGTGACTACTTTATAAGACAAAGTAGATAGATTCTCCAACCTGTCTTTTTACCTTGGCCTTTTTCTAGGTCTTCTTGTGCATGTCATTTTTTCTTCATACTATTTACTCTACTTAGACAATCCTGCCCTTACATTTGACAAATAAATTTTTGAGCCTTCTGATATCCCAGTACTTTCTGTTCTTCAATACTTCACTGAATACTGCTTGTCTACATTTCTCTTTCTTCATCCAATGCATATGTCTCTTTTATGGGACCAATCGAACACTTTCACCTGTAACTCATACCTATTTGTGAGCTTTTTCTTAAGCTCCTTTCATGGAATCTCAGCTTCTTGAGTCAGAGCCTTATAATTTTGATTTTCATATCATACATGACCCTGGCATGGTGCCTGATGTTTAAGGGCTGAAAAAAGATTTGAATAAATATGATAATGTGGGAAATAGCTAAAGTTTAAAATGATAGCAAAACTCTCTTCTGCATCTTCAGATATGTTAATAAGAAAAATAGGATGATTGAAGAAATTATTCTGCAAATTTTTTCTAAAGCAAGTTCAGTAAACAGTAATATCTTTTTTTTTTTGAGACGGAGTCTTGCTCTGTCACCAGGCTGGAGTGCAGTGGCACAATCGCAGCTCACTGCAAGCTCCGCCTCCCGGGTTCAAGCGATTCCCCTGCCCCAGCCTCCAGAGTAGCTGGGATTACAGGTGTGCCCCACCACCAAGCCCGGCTAATATTTTATATTTTATACAAATAAAAGGCAGGGTTTCACCATGTTGGCCAGGATGGTCCAGATCTCCTGACCTCGTGATCCACGCACCTCGACCTCCCAAAGTGTTAAGATTACAGGCATGAGCCACCACATCCAGCCTCATTTTTCTTTAAATATGCCATTATGTTTGAATCATTCAACTTAAAAACATGAATTTTTATTAATAGAATATGTGTTTATGTATACCCTGTCTCATTCATAAAGTATTTTGTGATAGCTTACAAAATTACATATGCTTTTTTTTTTTTTTTTTTTTTTTTTTTGAAGACTCAAGGTAATGAAAACTGTGAGTAGAATAGTAAGGTGTGTCAGGGGACAAATAAATAGATATAAAAATATGCTGCAACATTCTAGTTATTAAAGCTGGGAAATATGCAAATGTAAGTAGTATTTGGAACCAGAGAAGTTTCTATATTTAGCTCTTCTTCTGTAGCTAAATCTGATAAATTGAAAAATATATTCCTCTGCTCTAGGTACATTTTATATATTTTGACAGCATATCAAATATGGGGTTAAATAAATTAAAATCCAGTGGAATAAACTATATGGGATAATCTAAACTATTCTGTGACATTAAATTATATGTATTTGATGTGATTTTCAAATTAAAGGCTGCGAACTCTTTTTGTTACACAGAAAATCCTGTTTTCATGGTGTGACTGATAATAATTTTTAGTTCAAACTCTGAGTCTTAATATTATAAAGGTTACAAGTGAACTATGAGCTGTTTCATAAGTTACAATGCTGGTTTTTACAAAAAGGCCTGATAGAAAAAATTTGCATGGGTGTGTTTATATGTATGTGTATGTGTATGTATGTATGTTTGTATGTATGTGTGTGTGTGTGTTTCTCTCCAGAATCTCCCACAAAATAATTAGATCCCATTATCAAAGTTGGTGAACTGCTGGATAAACCCTGCGAGTGAAATTCTTTATAAGCAGCAAGAGAAAATCAGTTATTACTTTTGTTTGATGCTGTGTATTTTGATTAATGAAGTTCTGCTGCTGATATCGACCTTTCTTTAAATGCAGGTGAAGATGCTTTTGATGCCCTCCCTCCATCTCTCCCACCTCCCCCACCTCCTGCAAGGCATAGTCTCATTGAACATTCGAAACCTCCTGGCTCCAGTAGCCGGCCATCCTCAGGACAGGATCTTTTTCTTCTTCCTTCAGGTAGGAGGGAAAAGCCAAAGAAAACTATTCGCTTAAAGCAAAAATATTTCCAAAACCGTACTATCAAATAAATGCTAGTGATTCATTAGTCTCTACCTTCCTAACAGAACAGAAAAATTCCTGGGTTGTAAAAGTAGCAGTTGTGGGTACATTTGTTTGTCAGTTGATTGGTCTAATGCCAACAGAATTAGAGAGATGGAAAGAGCAATAAAGAACTACAGAATGTAGAAATGATGCTATAGAGATTGTCCAGTCCAGAAACCTCCTTATGTTACAAAATGCAACCCTGAGAACCAGAACTGCTAAGGGGTTAAGCTAATAGTAATGGGAACCATATTTAGACTTTGTCTCCTGATTCCCAATGCAATGGTTTTTAATAGGTTTTTAAAATTTTACTAGATATGCCTTAGTGTCATAATTTTGTTCAAAACATAAGATTTTGGTAAATTACATTGTTATCACATGAATAGAGAAGTTTTTCTGAAATAGCTGCATTTTATTTTTTTTGTGATATTTTTAATGCCTCGGTGTGTATCTACTCACTAATTATTGGTATTCAAAGGAAAACTAAGTTTTTCTTAGTAACTATTTAATGCTATTTAATATTTATTTATATATTTATACATTATATATTATATAATTATTAGTTTAATATTAGTAAACTAATTTTTTATGTTAGTATATTTTAAAATTTCAAAAGAGGATCTGAAATAAAAATGAAGACTTAATAAACCATGGGCTGCATTAGTTAGAATTATCAGGAAAAAGAAAATAAATTGTTATATGGAATCTGCTGATACTAATTAACAGTTCCAGTCTGTCCTGTTAGTGATACTGTGCCCTGAAACTTTTGCCTCCTGGACTTGGTTTGGGAAAATATAGGGTAAAGATATTCTTGTTTTCATGAGTTCCTTACATTTCTACATGACATAAATCATGAAAATCTTTAAAAAGTGCTCAGTTTGTCCTTTAGCTACATATATGCCTCATGGAAACTTGAGAATCTTTATTCCCAACTGATTCCCTTATCAGTTTCCTCAGTTGATTATTAGTCATGTCTACCATTCGTTTTTCTTAGTGTTTTTTTCTTTACTTGGTTTGATAGTTTAGAAAGTTTGAAGAGTTTTGATAAGACACACAAGTTATGGACATACAACTTGAATACACAGCTTCACTTTCTTAAAGTGGTTTATTTTTCAAGAATAATCCTCTGCTTAATTTTTCATCAGTAAATATTGATTGAGCCATTCACTGTTTACCCACTTGTGATAGATGCCTCCTGACCTCTGGGACCTCATGAGTTCACTGGATGCTGCCAATTAAAGCACTAGTGTCATAACCCATTCCAGTGCAAGCAGGAAGTATAGTGTATTAGTCCGTTTTCACAGTGCCATAAAGATACTACCCAAGACTGGGTAATTTATAAAGAAAAGAGGTTCCATTGACTCACAGTTCTGTGTGGCTGGGGAGGCCTCAGAAAACATACAATCACAGCAGAGGTGAAGGGGAAGCAAGGCACGTCTTACATGGCAGCAGGTGCAAGAGAGAGTGAGCAAGTAGGGGAAATGCCAGACATTCATAAAAACCAGATCTCATGAGCACTGACGATCATGAGAACAGCATGGGGGAACCACCCCCATGATTCAGTCACCTCCCACCAGTTCCTTCCCTAACACGTGGGGATTACAACCCAAAATGAAATTTGAGTGGGGACTCAGAGCCAAACCATATCATAACTGCTTAGGCTTTTATTCATATAGCTACATGTCAACACTGCTATATTTTGCTATTTTTTTTTTCACTTATTCAAAACTTTGTCTTATACATAGACTTTAACATAATTTTTAGAACAATGAGTCATTCTAAATCTTAGTTACTTAAACTTCCTGATGCTAAGTTCAGGATAGTTTCTGGCTCTCCTGTCACCTTTTGTATATGTAACTTAAGCCCCAGTAGATGAAACTTTGATGTTGTGGCATTTTTGAAAAATAAAGTCAAGCTCTCAAAGAGCTATAATAGAAGAGAATATTTTATACAATTATACACTTTTACCTGTTTTTGTCAAGAGAATTAATTGTAACAGGTTTTATTTATTTTATCTTAATTGTTCTTTTCCTTTTATGTAAAAATCTTCGTAAAGATACCCCTCAGGATTAACTGCCAAAAAATTACTAGTTTAAAATGAAAATGTCCCCTCTTATTAGCTAAAATGCAAGTTTTATAAACTGTTTTACTTATTTTATAGATTTGCCTGTTTTGTGTTTGCATGGCTGCCAGGGAGCTCAACAACAGTTATCCTTAACTTAGAGTGTCAGGCTAGCATGGGAGTTAGGGCAATGTTCTTCAAGCCTGTTGACTCTCTCTTGACCCTCTTAATACATGGACATATTCTAATTCTGTTCCAAATAATGTTGACATCCCTTACAATAAGTATTTCTAAAAAAAAAAACAGGCAACTTTTTTTCTTCCTTTTCCAGTCTTTCATGTCATTTACATGACACATTTCTAGTCTGGTACCAGATCCTTTATGACTTTTTTTTTGCGGGGGGGACAAGGTCTCACTCTGTTGCCCAGGCTAGTGTGCAGTGGTACTATCTCAGTTCACTGCAACCTCTGCCTCCAAGATTCAAGTGATTCTCCTGCCTCCGCCCCCTGAGTAGCTGGGATTATAGGTGTGCAACACTACACTCCGCTAATTTTTTATATTTTTAGTAGAGATGGGGTTTCACCCTGTTTGCCAGGCTAGTCTCGAACCCCTGGCCTTATGTGATCCCCCCGCCTCAGCCTCCCAAAATGCTAGGATTACAGACGTCAACCACCCAGCCCCTTTATGCCTTTCATTGTGACAATTATTTTGATTCAAATTTAAAGCCATGTATATTAACTTTCCTCCTTTTCAAAAGAAATATTTTAATATTTTAATGCTGTTACATAGTATCATAGAGCATAAAGGTTTTTTTGGCTGATAAATGAGCATTTGAATATTGTTTTGCAAAGTATTTAATACATTATACTGTCTAAAAAAATGTAAAAGATTCTCGATAGCAGTTCTTCTCCCTAAGAATTGACTTTATTAAGAATATGCTACAAATGCTAAAGTTTAACTCAGTAGTTTTAGAACTATAAAAGGTAAATAAAAGGGACTGCTAAATTTAAACAAACTCTGTGAGCATTTTGCTGTTGTTTTCATTGTTCAGTCTGTGAAATCTTAGTCTGGTGTAATGATACATGTTTTCTAAACATTACTGAGATTTGGTTTCCTGAGGAAATAATTATTTCTAATTAAAGACAAATGATAGGTGTCTTAGGAAAAGAGGTTGAATTTTCTTACGATATTATACTAAGTGCCTAATCAAGCCTACACTTTTATTCCAGCATTCAGTGCCCTGCACAGTTGGGCCAGGTTCAGCTTTTCAGCCTTATAGCTCATTGACTTCTATATAGTAGTGATTGTCAAACTGCAGTGTCCTATGTCTCTGCAAAAGAGCCTCAGGACTCTTGTAGGATCAAGGGGGCAGGGCAAGCAGAGCCAGGGCTCTCGTTCTTCTTTTATCTCTTTTCCTATTTTAGGCTTTCGTACAAGATTTCTTTTGGCAGAATAGTAATGCCTACAGCTGTACATGAGCCATCAATTTTGGACAGGCCAATTGTTTCTTAACAAAACCTGAAGCCCTCAACCAAAGCTTTATACTTTTTTGTCTCCAATTCCAAGGCTACCACTAGTGTATATGTGCTTTTTTCCATATTACAAAAAAGTACTTCCTTTTTGCTGGTGAATTGAAGTAGACACCCCTCTGTCTACTTTGTGCCAGGCCAGGACTCAAGAAACAAAACAAAGGTTGTATTTAAGTCCTTCTCATAACCATAACTAGGTGTGTTTGTGCAGTGCACAAAATACAGTGTTTTGTCAGTCCTTATGCTACCTTTCTTTTGCTGTTTCTCTAACCTGTAATCTCATTTGAAGATCTTATCTAAAGTCACAGTTAAACTCTGAAAGCTAGCCAAATTGACTTTATTAAAGATAAATGAAAGTTTTATTCTTGGATCCAGAAATGCATGAGTAAAATATGAAGAAAATCCAGATCACTAGCAACAATTGTTGAAAAGGTTTTAGGGGTTTTGTTGACTACAGTCTTTATAAAGCATCGTCATGATAAGGAAGCTCATGCCATTTGGGACTTGAACTCACAGAATTCAAATCTGAGGAGTGAAGTCCTCCACAGCGCTCAGTGTTTGCGGAGACCAGGCAGACGTTGAAGCGTTAATGGGCTAGAGCAGCGGTTCTCAAATGGTATTCTCCAGATTCACAACATTAACATCTCCTGGGGATTTGCTTTAAAATGAAAATTCAAGACTTAATACATCAGAAGCCCTGGGAATGGGACCCAGTGGTCACAAGCCTTCCTGGTGATTCTGATGCATATTCAAGTTTGAAATACGCTGGGCTGGGGTATTCTCAAAAGAGTGCAACCAGGGTGATAAAGTAAACTAGAGTGGATTAAAAGAACTGAGAATTGGCTCAGAGAAGAGAAGACCTTGGATGTAGATGAGATTTGTCTTTGGTTACAATATTTGGGAAAGAAGGATTATATTTCTTCCATGTCACTTCAGAAGGTAGGAGTAAGATCAATGGGAAATGTTAAGAATGAAAATTGTGTTCATCCTACAAAGAAGTTTCCTAAATCATTACGAATTGTTCTACCCAAGTGTAGTGAGTTATCTGACACTGGAGGATTTAAACCAATGGTAGATCATTACATACCAAGATAAGAACGTGAGCTAACGCATGAGAGCAGCAAAGAGGGGAGAACTTTGTTTCACCTAAATGGCTCTTCAAACCTTTTCTAGCAATTAGTTTCTGCTTTGATATACTCTGTTAAAATTTGGGGGATAATTGATAAATTTTCCAGGTGGTTTATTGACAGCCAGGGAGGAAATTTGCCATTGTTTTAAATATTTAATTTTATTTGCCTCTGTTTTTACACTTGGTAAAAATTTGGAAAATATTTCAGATAGTGAAGAAAAAAAAAATTAAGAAAAACATTCCGGGCCACGTATGGTGGCTCATGCCTGTAATCCCAGCACTTTGGGAGGCTGAGGCAGGCAGATTGCTTGAGCTTAGGAATTTGAGACCAGCCTGGCCAACATGGCGAACCTCCGACTCTACAAAAATATAAAAATTAGCTGGATTGGTGGCTCGTGCCTGTAGTCTCAGCTACTTGGGAGGCCGAGGCAAGAGAACAGCTTGTGCCCAGGAGGCGGAGGTTGCAGTGAGTCAAGATTGCACCACTCCACTCCAGCCTGGGTGACAGAGCAACACTCTCTCAAAAAAACGAACAAACAAAAAAACCTCATACTTCCTCCTACTAAAGATAATCATTGTTAGGTATCCTTCTTTATTTTTTTGTTTTTGTTTTTGCCTATGAGTATGTAAGTTCACATTTATGTAAAATTTATTTCTCATAGTACATGCTGTTTATAACCATTTTCCAGTTAATATGTCATGAGCATTATATATAATTATTAAATATTTGTATGCAATGTAATTTTTATTGATATATATTTCATTTCTTTTTTAAGTAGCAAACCATTTCCTCCCAGTCTTCCCTTAGTTTTTTATAATCTCCCAAATAAGTATTAAATTTTCAGTTTTGCAATGCTATACTATAAATCACAGGCAGTAGTACTTTGCTTTTTAGAACAGATTAATACCTTTGTATGTATCCATTTATTTCTCAAACGCTTATTACTATATAAATGATAAATTGGCTGTGATAATTTCAGTTTGTTTTAATCCTGTGGATATAATATTTTTCCGTAGTTTTTGAAGTTTTGAAGAATTTATTTTAGAAAAGTATTATTACTTTACAAAATTTTCTTTTCAGGTACAACTGGTAATTACTGTACTCTGTGTAGCAATTGTGTTATATCTAATGTCTTTCCCTTTAAAGCCTGAATGCTTCCAACTTTATAATTTGCTTTAGAGAGCCCAGTTTACCCTATGGCTGACAAATAGCAAACTTAGGATATGATGCAAGATAGAAATGATAATGATTCAAAATAGAACCATAAGCAGGTGTTTTTGCTATTTATAATAATATTTTGAGTGTATCTAGTACTTTTAAAATAATAAAGTTTAATGGAAGAATATAGTAGAGTGGTATATTTTGTAGTCTATCTATTTATGGCTCTGAAATGTCTCCAGAGTTTACTTTTTAACCTTAAATAGATGATTAGAAATAGCATTAAGTGTATTTGACAAGCCTATAAATTTCCCGTAAAGAAATAAGCAAGTGTATGTATTGTAAAAGACAATCTTTCCTCTGATTTAATGTTATATCAGGGGCATTTAGAGTCTACAAGGACCTGAAGTAAATTTTATGAAATATCTAGTTTTTGAAATTTGGGAGATTTCAAAATTTATGCTGAAATCACCGTATTTGTTTCCTTTGGTTTCTCTAACAAACCGAAAGATCAACATTTGTCTCATGCGATTTATCTTCTTATTCCTTCCTAAAAATATTTCTGGGAAAATAATGGAGCTGGACCATCAATTCTTCAAATATTGAAAACTCAAAATCTAAGAGTTATTTTAATCTTGAAATTAATGAAAACAAGTTAAAGAACCTTGTCTAAGTCAGAAAGTCCTCAGCAAAGCTGGTGATAATTATTATGCTGCAAAAAAGGTGAAAAGATAATGGCTTCAAATCCTGCCTTACATTATCCAGTCAAAACCTAATATAAAAATAGGCAATATTTAAGCATATGTTTTCATCTTAAATAATCAAATACTTACATATTATTAATGTCTAATGGGAGTGGAAGTTAAAACAGTGAAATTCAATCAGGTCTTCTTTAATATTTACAATTTTTGCTTTACATTAGCAATTCAGGTTTTACTGATTTTGAATTTGTGAACAATCTGAATTTGTGTGGATTTATTTGTGGTAGTTAAAAGTAAATATTAAGTGCAAGCTATTTGCCAAGAGTGTTCTAGGTGCTATGTTTGAGTTAGGAGGTATAATTCAAACATGAGGAGTAAGACAAGATCCCGGAGATCCCTGTTCTCAGAAGAATTGATGGTGCTTTCAGAGATACCAACAACATAAAAGTACTATGAGAGGAAAGCAGCAGAGCCTGAGGTGGGAATGATAGTTAGATAAATTATTAGTGAACCGAGGTTTTCAGATATAATGTTCTTCTACTCAAAAAGGGAATCAATTCTCTAAGAATTTAAACCCATGTAATACTATGAATGTTAAACCAGTTGGATTTATGGTGTTAATGATTTAATACAGCAACATTGACAAAATCTCTTTTTCTCCCTTTAGTTCCAGTTAGTAAATATCATATTTTTTACCATTTCAGATGCCCTGTCTCTGACTGCCAAGGTGGTAAATTATCACATTTTACTGTATATTCAAATATTAATTACTAAATGGCATAATTTTAACAATTAAATTGACTATTTTATGAGCCAACTAACAACAATGATGTTAAGCATAGGATGCCCAATGTAATAATAAGCACCTTGTATGTACAGAAGATTTTACACACACAAATTCATTTAATCCACACACATCCAGAGTTTCAGGTCTGTTTTACAAATCTTGTATGCCCAGTGCTTAGAGAGATCAAGTAATTTGATAATACTCTTACAGGGAGGATCCAAACCCATGGTTTTATGTATGTTTGTTTGTTTTTTGCTTTTACTTTAGAACTTCTATATTGTACAGGTTGGATTGGGACAGAAAATGAAATTTAGAAACTCTTTTTATTGTCAACAATCTTATAATTAAACAAGATATCTGCAAAATATAAATATAAAACAAGTAGTCGGTATTATCTGGAAATAAATGTGAAGAGCATATATAAGCAAGTGATGAATAAATTTGAAAATATGCAGGCAGTAAAAAATGGTTAATATCAGTCATGAATTTAATTTTCTAATTTGTTTTTGAAAGCCATAATCTTCATGAAATAATTCTAGAGTCTTTTTCTTCAGCCAATCAACAGAGATCATCCTTTTAATTTGAAATTTGTTTTTATTTTTAAGATCCCTTTGTTGATCTAGCAAGTGGCCAAGTTCCTTTGCCTCCCGCTAGAAGGTTACCAGGTGAAAATATCAAAACTAACAGAACATCACAGGACTATGATCAGCTTCCTTCATGTTCAGGTGAGTTAGTTGATAACAGTAACAATAATCCCTTATTGTTACATAGTGCTTTTATGCTTTTCAGAGCACCTTCCTATTCATTATATAATTTAATGAATGTTGTCCACCTAAGATAGTATTTTGATCATCTTTGCATTTTGCTTATGAAGCTTGCATTGTGAGAGGAATGGCTACAAAAATGTCTCATGGAAAAGAAAAATATCAAGCTTAATATTATCTTTGATCACTCAGTGGAGCCACTTCGTTGATTCAGAATGTATTCATTATCTAACTTTCCTTTTGTCTTAGATTTGGGAAGTGGGGAAAATCTCTTTGTACATTGAAATGCTGTTGTATAGAAATCTCTGTGGAATTAATACTGGCGCCAAACTATTCATTTTCTTAGCTTATTTAGGCCTCCAACCAGTGTTCCACTGACAGCCATCAAATAGAAGGATGTACCATTTTCATAAATACAAGTCATACTCATAACTATTAATAACAGAATGCTGCTTCTTTGCTTCTCAAGGAGGCTTTCCCTGAACATATCTAAATAGCCCCTATCTTCTGCAGTCATTTTCTTTCCTTTTTTGCTTTTTCTTCATAGCACCCATCACTACCTAAAATTTTGTTATTCAAAATTCATTTGCTTGACTGTTGGTTATCTTTCTCGTCTGCTCAAGTATTAACACTTTGAAGATAAGAATGTTGTTTGGTTCACTGCTTGTCCTAGTCAGTTCAGGCTATTATAACAGAATACCATAGATTGGACTGCCTAAACGGCAAACATATATGTCTCACAGTTCTGGGAGCTGGGAATTCCAAGATCCAAGAAGTACCAACATTCAGTGTCTAGTGAGGACCCTCTTCCGGGTTCATAGATAACTGCCTTCATACTGTGTCTTCACAAGGGCAAGGGAGTGCTCTGGGATCTGTTTTGTAAGGAAACCAATCCCTTTCATGAGGGCTTCACCTGCATAATCTAATCACCTCCCAAAGGCCTACTCAGGTGTCCAACAGAGTGCCGAGCATGTGTTTCTTAGATGAATAGTTGGGGATGGGTGGATGGATGGATGGATGGCTGGATGGATGGATTTGAGTGGGCAAATAGGCAAAAGGAGGGAAGAATAGCCGATGTCTGTATTAAACTCAACACACATATCTGATAAGCACTATTTTTGTCTCATATTTGTGAATATCAGAAGTTTTCCTATATGAACTTTTGTCTTATTTCAAAATTTTTTTAAGCTAAAACCTCAGTTGATAGAAGATTTGCTAATAGTAATAGCAATACATTCTGAAACTTCTGAATCAAGATAATTAATGAGCTGTTTTAAGAATTGTCAGTATGGTAGTTCTTATGTGCTCCATGCCATGCTTGGGAGATGCAGAAATCCCTGTGTAGTTTTATATGTTTAAATGCTTGCATATAACTCAGGAAAGCATAGAAAATCTTTTTAGTCTTTTCAAATTTTGTCCAGTGTTCTCTTACCAGTTTGTTTCTAGTCATCCTAGGGTTTCATATATATCCATGATTAGCCTGAAATTCCAGTCAAAATAATTTGATGACAAAACATGAAAATCAAGAAAGAAAGACAGTATCTGACAGCTTCTGTATAACATAAGGAAGCATTTTTTTTTTAAGAAAATAGCATTAAAATATAACTTCAAGCAAAGTGCTATGACTGATTTAAAATAACATATTCAGTACCACCAGCTCTGGATTAAAAGAAACGTACACTTTAGTTATGGGAAAAGTTGTGGCCAAAACACAGTGTTTTCACAGCTTCTTTACAGTTTGCTGCATAATAAGTGGGTGTTGTAGAGCCCAGAGGAACATCATTCACATATATGATTTCAAGCAGTGTGAATCCCGATTAGCATTACACTAGAAATGTCTGGAAGAACTTCAAATCACAAACCTTGTTGAAATATCCCCGAATAGCCATTTGCCAGAAGCCTGAACTGGTTTTTACCTAAGTAATAAAAGAATCCTGACTATTACTCTGAGGGCCCCAGCTAGCTGCGACATCAAATATTTCAGTCTACTCCCTAAATTCTCTTTACAAACACAGTCAACCACAGAAAATAAGATACTTTTTTCCAACAGATGTTTGTTTACATGAAGCTCACAGGCCTACCAGGCTGTTGACTAGTTTATTTCACATCAGCAGAGAGACTGAGCTTGCCTTCTAGATGAGGTCTTTCCATTCAGCCCTTGAGACTGAATGCATATATGCCTTTAGGATTCTAATAGCTCTTATTTTGCAGTAATTAATCTGTTTTTATTAAGGCCTTTTTAAGATGACCAAATGGGGGTTCTGGTATGACTGCTATACCTTATGAATTCAACTTCTGTTATCACTTATGGCTGTGTAAATAATTGATAGTGACTTATTTATGGATAGGCTTCTATGGAAAGCATATTTCTAAAGAATTTTAAAATGTAGGTTCATTGATTTTAAAATATCTCCCTTGTTTTATCTAAAAAGTATGTCTGCATGTATACGTATGTCTACATATATAAAGAGCCTTTTAAATGTTTATTACACCCAAAGGAAAATATTTTATAGTTTTCTTAAGGTTTTTTTAAAATGTATAATTGAAATTTAAATATATGAACGTATCATAGGTAGCCCAGATATAAGAAGAGCTTACCAGCGCATGTTAAATTCACATAGACCTGTATATAGGACAAATATTTTTGCTAATAATATGCTTGTTTCTCTACATGGTTGTATTATTCACATGGGGCTCATGTGTCTTCTGTGTATGAGGTTTTACAAATTTCGCAGTTTGCTTTCCCTTGTTGTAAGACATACTGTACTACAGTTTGAATACCATTCTTTGAAAACTCTAAAACGCTTATGTTAATGAAGTGCACCATTCACTCTTGAGGTGATTTTTCATATTGTTAGTATGTAGAAGGAAGTTCAAGGTAACACTTGAAAACAATGCTAGATTTTAGCACAACTCACATGTGTGTGAAACTATTAAAAGACCTTATTGCCAAATAAGCCAATCTCATTATAAAATAAAGGAGATCTCATTACAAAAGGAATTAATTTCAATACTACTATTAGTTTACTAGCTTAAAGGAGAATTGATGGAATAGTGAATAAATTTTATATTAGGACCAAATATTCAATAGTTTATCTCTCTTGTGATCTCAGTTGAAAATCATGGCTTCACTTCACACAAGGGTTGTAATTTTAAGGTAGATTATATGTCTTTAAGATTTTCTGTTTCAACAAAGGAAATGGCAATGTTGCGTTTTCCCACAGTTCAGCTACGTGAAATACCGGGGCATACAGACAGCTTCAGTTTGAAAGTCAGAGAACCTAGAGTTGTTTTCCTTACAAATCTAATACTAAATAACCATTTTCTATATATATTTAAAACAATATATGTGATTTTTTTGTTTGTAATTTAGTTTATTAAATCATGTCCTTCTATAAGTATTTCTTTTTTTTTTTTTTTTTTTTAGTAGAGACGGAATTTCACCATGTTGGCCAGGCTGGTCTCGAACTCCTGACCTTGTGATTTGCCCACCTCAGCCTCCTAAAGTGCTGGGATTACAGACGTGAGCCACTGCACGTGACCGGCAGTAATTCAACCTTATGGCATAAAAATGAGTCCCAAAATTAACTGATCCAACTTCTGGTAGAATAACAAAGTTATTATAATGTGTTTGAGATTTCTTTTATTCGTTGATCAATTAAATTTATTTATTTTTTTTCTAATTCTGTTATTGTTATAGTTGAGAAGGTCAGTAGTCTAAGAGTTTTGATGTCTGTTCCAAGAATTGTGGCTGTTTTACTAAGTAGATTTAGAAAGTATATTTCAGATAATATGTACAATATTATTTTATCTAATTAAAATTTGTTAAGTTTGTTAAGCATATACTATAGTCCTGATGCTTTGCTAAGTATTTTAGATTCAGATATATAAATTTTATATAAGTTAATATATATAATTGTATTTATATAGTTATACACTAAAATATAAATATTCATGTTATTTTATTTAATAATGTATATTTTATATTATCTATTTATAATTATACATTTATATATTTAATATTTTATACAAATACATGGTTACATAATATTGTATATTATACATATAAATATAAATCAACATATTTTTACTGTGTAATATAGAAATAGATATAATTTTGTTTCTCATAACCACTCTGAAATATATATATACACACACACACACACACACATATATATATATATATTTTTTTTTTTGGAGACAGAGTCTCGCTGTGTCACCCAGGCTGGAGCACAGTGGTGCAATCCTGTCTTACTGCAACCTCCACATCCCAGGTTCAAACAATTCTCCTGTCTCAGCCTCCCAAGTAGCTGGGACTACAGGCAATTATTGTATTTTTAGTAGAGACGGAGTTTCACCATTTTAGTCAGGCTGGTCTTGAACTCCTGACCTCAGGTGATCCTCTTGCCTCAGCCTCCTAAAGTGCTGGGATTATAGGCATGAGCCAATGAGCACAGCCTGAAATAGATATTGTTAATGTCAATTTATAGAAGAAAGAAAGACACAGCAAAGGTTAGTAACTAACTCAAGCTACTGCAGAAAGTATAAGTGTGACAGAATTTAAATCAGTTTCAGTTTTTTAAAAAGTTGTTAATAAATAAAGTTTATGTTGTTATCCTATCAGCATGCCAAAATTAAGTTAGAAAAAAATGTACACATGCATGTCACAAGAATTGCTAAACTGAGTTTGGAGATGTTCAGTGGTAAAATCATGATAATAGTGATGGAATAGTCGTGATGACAAAGAAATGGAGGGTTTTAGAAATAGTAAAACTGTACTAGAGATTTCAGAATCGAGATTCTGATTATCTTTCACACGACCTTAGGAAAGCCACCCACTGTGTGCTTCCTATACTTTTCACATGAGCAAAATCAATCTCTGGTTCTCAGTCTTAGACACTTGTACAACTGAGGCCTTTAAGAGTATCAGAGGAGATCTGAGACGATTTTGTTGGTGGTGG